CAGGCAGTCTGAAAGTGTTCTACAGGCAGTCTGAAAGTGTTCTACAGGCAGTCTGAAAGTCTTCTACAGGCAGTCTGAAAGTGTTCTACAGGCAGTCTGAAAGTGTTCTACAGGCAGTCTGAAAGTGTTCTACAGGCAGTCTGAAAGTGTTCTACGGGCATTCTGAAAGTGTTCGACGGGCAGTCTGAAAGTGTTCTACGGGCAGTCTGAAAGTGTTCTACGGGCAGTCTGAAAGTGTTCTACAGGCAGTCTGAAAGTGTTCTACAGGCAGTCTGAAAGTGTTCTACAGGCAGTCTGAAAGTGTTCTACAGGCAGTCTGAAAGTATTCTACGGGCAGTCTGAAAGTGTTCTACAGGCAGTCTGACAGTGTTCTACAGGCAGTCTGAAAGTGTTCTACAGGCAGTCTGAAAGTGTTCTACGGGCAGTCTGAAAGTGTTCTACGGGCAGTCTGAACGTGTTACGTACGAGTACATGTTCAGGTTAAATGTCGTTGAATCAAAACACAAAACACACAGAGGCCATCAGGTAGGCTATATGAAAAACGTGTTGGCGCCCAATGACGTTAATCAAAAACTCAGACGTTCAATAAAATTGATCAAAAACTCTAACATACAATGACGTTCAATAAAATAGATGCCGTCCAAAGAAGTGTAACATTACTCTGACATGCAAAGACGTCCACCAAACAATACCTCTGACGTCCAAAGACGTCCACCAAACAATACCTCTGACGTCCAAAGATGTTCACTGCAACATTGGACGTTCATTGACATCTCTAAAAACTGACATTCACCAAAAACTGACGTGCATTGACGTTCACCAAAAACTGACGTCCATTGACGTTCACCAAAAATTCTGAGTCTAATGACATTCACGTCATCGCTATTCCCCACGCGCGAGAAAATGATTTCAATTTCAGATTTCTCAGATTGTGTTGCATGAAATTACACCAAGAGTCCCCCATCTCTGGGCAGCAGGCACCCTGGGGAATTGTCTTCAGATCGCTCAGAAATATTGTGGGAACTTTTTTAGAAAATATGATCAACTTTTTTGCTAACTGCCGTCCATTGTGGTTAGAATTGTGATGAGTGTATTCTTAAGTGTACAAGTGTATATCATTCGAACAATCTCGATCGAAAAACTGACGTAGGCGTATTAGTATCACAAAATAATGGGACTTATAAGTATAGAGTATAAAAAATCTGTGGCGTATAGCTATACCTATGAGTTTTACAGAAAAACTGTGAGGTAGAAGTATATAGTATCACAGTAGGAGTATACAGTACCACAGACAAATGAGATTTATAAGTATAGAGTGTTAAAGAACAATTGTGACGTAGAATTATACAACGTCACGGAAAAACTGACGTAGAAGTATACAACGTCACGGAAAAACTGACGTAGAAGTATACAACGCCACGGAAAAACTGACGTAGAAGTATACAACGTCACGGAAAAACTGACGTAGAAGTATACAACGTCACGGAAAAACTGACGTAGAAGTAAACAACGTCACGGAAAAACTGACGTAGAAGTATACAACGTCACAGAAAACTAACGTAGAAGTAAACAAAGTCATGGAAAACTGACGTAGAAGAAAAGGTGTCTCAGAAAAGCGGTGACATTGAAGTATAAAACGCCACAGTAAACCATGTCTAAGGTGACACCAGCACGATTTAGTTGACGTGTTAAAGCACTATGCGTTCGAACTACCTCAACAACTATGTTAGAGACATCCTTGATACCAGATAGTTGTCCATTGTCCATAAGTAATGTACTGCTTGTAGATAGTAACATTAGGTTAATGTGGAAATAGTTCCCTAATTAAACTGGTTAAACCTGGTAGCAGAGTTGTCGAGATATAGAACCTCGAGATACTCCGTGAACTGTATTAGATGTCGGGGGTAGTTACTTGACTCAGTTGGTACAATTATTTTCACTTCTAAAATCAAGAATTAAATATACTTTTAGTAACTTAAGAAATTTACACTTTTGCTTTTGTCATGTTCTTGGTTTTCAATAGTTCATAAACCTTTATTCACAACTTTATGTTTATATGTTTAAAACTTTTTTCCTATTAAATGTATTTTTTATGTTCTATTTTTGGGGGGTCATGCCTATACTTACTAACACGTGAGGTGGGTTACCATTCTGTTGTAGTATGTTATATGTGGGTCGAATGGTGGAGTTGTTCCGATATGTCAAACCATAATGTTGGTCTGGCAATCAGAATATTTACAGTAATTTTAGTGAAAATAGGGCAAGTTCTTTACTCTGAGTCGCTTTGATCCCAATAAAGTGTGTATTTTTGTGACGAGTCGAAGAGATCTGTAAGAAGTAAGATATTATTGTGGGTAGGGCTCTAACATATTACAGAGCTTTACATAACGTAGGATGAGGAATTGACCAAGAATGTCAATTTTTTGTGTTATAAAATATTTGCATGATCTCTTCTCATCTATCATTTAAAAGAGTTAAATGGCAGTTTTTACAGTTTTTAAATGTTAAAGAAATCAACCAATCCAGTCCAAGTTATGTTAAAGAAATCAACTGATCCAGTCCACGTTATTCTTGTCTATTCCAGTCCTGATTCCAGACCCAAGCGGCGACCAGAGACCCAAGCAGACGACAATTGATTGTGAGCGCTGCCTAGTCTTCAGGGGAACCCTCTCCTCCCCCCCCCCCCCCACCCACGACTGTAATTTTCAAACCCATTTAGAGTGTACTCGCTTCGTTTGCTGCCTCTAAAGCCATTTTTAGAGTGGGGTTAAAAACACGAGAACAGCATATCATCACGGCCCTCTGTCTTTACCGGCTGATCTTGCTCTACTCCAGTTATCCCCCTTTTCAACCCCATTTTTTTTTCTTTTGGAGATTTCCAATTCTAAATATAAAGTATATCCCATCTAAAAAAAAATAAAAAATAAAAAAAAATAAACGCTTTGGGGTAGAGGAAATCTAAAAGAAGTATAAAATATTCAGAAAATTTCACTTATTGTGATTGAAAAGTCTAACTTATTTTAAGACAAATGAAATATATGAGAATTAAAAATAACTATAAATGTGTTTTTCATAACGTGAATTCAACTAATTCTTTAAAATTTCTTTCGTTTCGCAGTTCACTGATATAGATTTATTTACAAGATTTACCACCAGACTAACTGAAAAGTTGAAATCGTAAATTTAATGATCTGAGAAAAAAAAACTGAACTGATTATTTTCCTATTGACGCTTGGTTCAGTGTTAGGATAGTTAAGTAGCGGGGGGAGGGGTGGAACAGACCCTAGCAGCCCCACGGTACAGAGACCAAGCCACGAGGGGTGGAAGAGGGAGGCAGGCGCAATGACCGGCGCGATGCCACGAGGTTGTCGCCTGGCTGCGGACAAGCAGTGCCAGAGTTTATGAGTGGGAGTTCCCGAGCGGTCAGTGATTCTATCAGAGATTATTCAACTCAAACTTTTTTTTTTTTACTTTTGTTGTGTGAAATTGTTGTCATAGATTTCTCTTAATTAATTACCATCTAATGAAATCATGGATTATATGGTCAGGAAGGAAAGGCAAATGGGGAAATGTTATTTTGATACAAATTAATTTGAGATAAAGATATAATTTAACTTGTGAGTTGTAACAAGAAAATCATTTTATTTCTATTAAATGTTTTGGCAAATTAGTTTAAAACAAAACAAATCATTTAAATTTTTTTCTAAAACTTTCACTTTGAAATTTTCTTTGAAGATAAATTTTTCTAAGTGTGTTTCTCTTTTAAATATGCAGGCCTAAAATATATTTGTTTTAACTTTTTAAACGCTTAGTAGCGCTTTATTAATTTATTTTTTGGCTTATAAGTATAGTAAACAAAATGTAAGGCAAAATATTACATTACAAATGGAATGCTGTAACTTTTGAAATCCATTTTTTTCATTCCAATTTTTTGCTTTAGTAGTCATATTTTTCTCCTGACTTTCATGCATGCTGACATCCTAATCAATTTTATTCCTGAAACCTTCAGTACAACAATTATCCTAACTTGCTGACAGCAAGCAAGTTTGACACAAAAGTTCTATTGTTTTTTTACCACAGAAACATGTCCAGCAAAATATTAGTTTCAAGAAAACACACCACAATATATGCAGGGACTAATCTAATTCCTTTTGCCCAACCGATCTTAGCATATTAAAAAAAAAACACATTTTAAACTAATTCAGATTATTTTATCACCCTACCAGCGTAATGGTTGAAATCGACATTAAAAAAATAATTAAATTTTAGCGTTTCACTGAGTTTGATGAACATAATTATTTGTTTTGTTTTATAAAATTAAGAAATTTTTAACTTTAAAAAGAAAAATATCAAAATAAATTTTTAATGTAATCATCAAATCAATTTAACACAAATCATTATTTTAAAATATAAAATACAATAGTTTTAAGCTTTAAAAGAACTCATTTTGAGTAAACTTTCATAAAGTCATAGTTTTTTCGGCTGGACCTATAGAATAAATTTTCTTTATTTTGTCATTTCCTTGTAATGTTATTTTACTGGTTTTTGTAGATTAAATATTCTTAAAGACAGCATCGTATTATGTCACAGTCTAGTGGTCAGACTTTTTTCTGCAAGCAGTTGTTTGGCTACTATACCTGAAAGACAAGCCCGAGATTTTATTTTCTTGTTTCCCTTTCTGTTGTGAATGGTCTTTGCCTCACGCCTGCAAGTCTGCTGAGTAGCATGGGATTTGGTCAGACCTTCATTGCACGGATTACACCATTATCTGGCGTCATAGACAAGTCATGAATGATATTCCCGGATTTAGCATGCATATTTTTGCTTGATTTTTTAAGCATTGTTTTTAGGCTGCTTTTACTAGTGTTTTAAAACCCCAAGTGCTTGTGGTAAACGGGGCAGATTCTGGTGCCTTTTGGCGCGTTCTGGAACTTTCTTGCTGAATTTGGCTACTTCTAACCTTCAGGATGCTGAGGACTGACCGGAAGTTCAACCAAAAATTTTACTCGTGTTTAAACATGGCCGCCGTGACGTTTCTCGTCTGGTTGCTCATGTCCGTCACCGTGACGTCACAGAAGACCAAGGAGCAGCTGGCCAAGGAGGACAAAGGTCAGTGGTGTGTTTTTGGTGTGTTTTTGGTGTGTTTTTGGTGGTTTTTTTACTAGGACACAGTTGATTATTCTTGACGTAATTACAGCTTTGTATTTTATGACGCCATAATTAAGCCATCATGTCTTTTCGGCACCATAATTACACCATTGTAGATGTATACAGAACTCCTGACTAATTTAGTAGATACAGAACTATCGACTTTTGTGGACGTGTGTGGACGGGGGTGGGGGGGTCGATGTGGGCGTCCACATGGTAAATTTAACATCAATATATTTACATTTTTATAACAAATACTGCATATGAAATGTATGTATTAAATCGGCAGTTTTCGTGTAAAAATCACTCGCTCGACGGGTTAATAAATGCAATTCTAACTCTATACTGTAACTGTGAATGTAACTGCATATTGCCCTGCTAAGAAAAAAAGCTGCACATTTTTTTACTATCGGAAGGGCGGGGGGATGGGGGGGGGGGGGGTTAATTGACCGCGGCAATTTTCTAAAATAATTCACAGTATTTCAATTTTTTCTTTAAACATTGCAAAGAATTGAAACCTAAGTTTAAAAACAATTCGATCTAGACCTAAGCCTTTATAGAGCGTACAACCAAACTTATGTCTTCGGCTTGGTACCTCTATCATCGCCAGTTAAGTCGCCTCTTCTTACATCATTAACATTGTCATTAACTTTACTACTAAAGTCACACAAATAACCATGGACATCATCACTAACCTCTTCACTAACCTCTTCACGAACATCATCACTAACATCGCCCGTGTCAAACTACTAGACTAATCAACAACAACTCAAGCACTAGTTAACCGCACGTGATATTATTGAAATGAGCACTTAACATACACCACATTGATATACAAACATTAAAGCGCGAGCACTTGCCCACCTTCAACAACACAACAAACCACCAACATACTAGAATATAAAGCGACCGAATTGTCCACAGTCTTCCTGTATAAGTTAAGCTCGCTGTGGAAAAAATCTGGATGGAAGCTTTTTTTCCATACTATACTGCTGCCAAAAATAGAGGCGTGGGATATCACATATTTTAGTTAAGTGTCTTTGTCCTTGTGGCTATTGTTTCTGCTGTAGTTAACGATTGTAGGCTGGTCTAATGGTAGACCATGACACATTTGAACTTACTTGCTGTACTTTTTAACGGGTTAATTGGTGCTCAAAAGAAACGTGTCAAAGAGCGGCAGCCATTTGGTTAAAAATAAAATTGTAACGCTATCAATCTTTTTGTCAAGCTAATTATACATTGGTCATTTTATTTTGACGATTTATAGGTTTCTTTAATTTCGCAAAACTTATCTATTAAACCAAGGGACTTATTACGATTTTTTGTCTAGGAACTTAGCACACATCATCACATTAAACATGACACGCTTAGTGACAGCAAACAACCCTTACACACACACACACACACACACACACACACACATATATATATATATATATATATATATATATATATATATATATATATACATAAAACAGGACACAACACCTCTACATAAAACAGGACACAACACCTCTACATAAAACAGGACACACCGCTGGGTACCATACGTCAAGGTAATTGTGTTTCAAAAGCCGGAGTTTAGCATCCCCAGGGGACGTAACAATTTGCAAGTTAAAAAGCGCTTGATTGAATGTTGGCTCGGTTAGTCATTGATTGCGGCCCCTTTTAGGCTACTTGGTCTGCTCGTCCCGCCCTGGTCAAGTGGACTACTGTGGGCAGGGTACTACCGTGCTAGAGTGCTCATAGTGATAGGGGGTAGAATGTCACAAGCTAGCCTTAAAAGTCATTCAAATTGTCACGTTTGGTATGAAAGTCAAGCACATTTTTTTTGTCCCTTTGAAATTTTGTTGTTCGCACCAAATTATGTTGTCCATGTGAAATTGTGTGGTCCCAGTAAAATTTTGTTGTTCCTGTAAAATTGTGTGGTCCCTGTAAAATGTTATTGTCCCTGTAAAATTTTGTTGTCCCTGTGAAATTTTTTGGTCCTTGTAAAATTTTGTTGTCCATGTGAAATTTTGTGGTCCCTGCGAAGTATCTTGTTTGAGCAAAAAGATGTGCTGCTGTGTATTGAAACAACAACTGAAAGGTACGAGAATTTTGGTAAAGTAGATGCCCTCTTACCTCCCCTTTTGGAGAGTTTCTTCCCCTTTTCCGATAGTTTCCTATCCTTAGATTACCGGCTAGATCTTAAAATATTTTTTTACATGACCTTGAAAGCTGCTCAAAAACCCCTAAACAGATATGACATGTTTTTGTTGTAATTCTTGATGGATATGTTTGGATTTAGGTTTAGGATTTTTGAAAAGTCAAGGTCAATCTTAAATTGAAAAACTGTACCTACATGATAACATTGTAAACTCTCTACCATAGACCCTATAGTTGTTTTCGGTTCTAGGGATAGTTCCCAACAAGGGCGCCCTTAAGATGGTGTGATTGTGGGTGGGGCGAAACAGAGGTGTGTTTCCTGTTGAGGCGTGAACCAAGTAGGTCATGCGTGTTTGTGGGCGGGGCTTGAAATCAGATCGGTTTTTGAGCCGTTTAGTTTTGGCGTGAGTGGCGTGGCAGACGTTGAAAGACGTACATCGATGGGGCGTGACCAGACGTCACCTCAGCTCACGTCTCGCTTGTCACGTTAACCGTCACGTCAAGGGGTGATGCTGTCACGTAGAGCTGTCACGACAGACGGTACCTTTGTCACGTTAATCTCCACGTTAAATTGTATTTCTATCACGTTTAGATTCTAGCTTTGTCACATGTTGCAGTTTGCATCTGGTCAACTCTAAAAACAGCGCCAATTGTCAATGTCGGTGTGGTGACACATTAAAGTGTTGTAACACATGAATTTGGGGGTAACACATGACAGCGTGGTGACTCAAACATGTGGTGACATGGATTCTAGAGTATAAGTGTACTGCCTTGTATTCGGCATTGATCTTTTAAGGGATGTAAGAATCAGTGAGGGCCTAATCACATAAATTAGGTGGTGACACAACACTGCATAGTCACGCTTTACTGTATGGTGACACGTGTATAGTGACACGTGTGTGGTGACTCGTGCATAGTGACACATGTCATTTATTAATGGACAACTCTCTAATACAAAAGGCTATCCAGATATTTACCACCATCAAGTATCACCAGTTACTAATCATGCAAATAAAAATAATCCGACTTGATATAAGATATATATCAAATCGACCGACAGTTAAAGGTGACAGAAACCAGACGCAGACAACAAAAAGCAGACAAAGGAAAAAGCAGACAACACAGGAAAAAGTAAAAAAAAAAAAAAAAAAGCCTACATCTTATTTAAAAGTTGGCAACAGAATCTAAATACATTGAGGCGGTGAGACCTGTCATTAATATTAAAACGATTCCCCACCAGGCCTCTTTTGTGCCCGTCACTGACGATGTAATCAATACTCAAGCTAATTAATTAACTCTGAGTTATTTGTCTTCACTTATTTATTCCTGTGTATATTTATTCGTGTATATGTATTTATTTTTTCTACATATCTATTCGTTTGTGTTATATTCTTGAGCATTAATTTATTCTTGTGCATATTCATTCGTGAGTGTAAATTATATGTATTTACGTATTTATTCGTGTGTGTGTGTGTGTATTTATTCGTATGCATGTACTTATTCTTATGTACATTTTTATTAACATTGTAATGGTGAGGATTATTTGGGTTTAGATGACTTTGTTCCCACTTTCACAATGTTAACAGAAAGTCAATACCGTCATAGAGCGTAGCCTGATGTAAACGTGTTCTTTGATTATATTGGGGTATGGGTGAGAGATTTTAAATTTTATTTCAACAAAAATTATTAGAATAACTTTAAGTATAATCGTTCAGTTTTCTTTCTTGTTAATGTTTCTTATCATGATTAGTTTTTTCTATTTTATGATGTAGTTGTAGATTATCCGAGTATCGTTGTTGATATTATTCTTTGGTGTAGTAATTGTGCTTAAAGTAAATTGTCCCTTATCCCGGAGTATAGTTGATTATAATCCTAGTACCTAGAATTTGGTTGTTGATTATCCTATAGTGCAAATGTGTACTATCCTAGAGAGTAGTTGTTGATTATCCTAAAGTGCAAATGTGTACTATCCTAGAGTGTAGTTGTTGATTCTTCTAAAGTATAATTATTGATTATCCATAAAGATGGTTGCAGCTTTGACTTGATTGTCCAAGCTTGCGTAGTAGTTGGTTGTTTTAGGGAGCACGCTCAAGTGAGCATCTAGTAAAAATTCACAAATTGTACTGTTCAAATGTTTGAAAGAAAGGAATTTAAACGGATTTCAACAAGCTAAACAGTCGTACGCCGTTAATGAGATGTAATTTGCCTTAGCGACTGTTGATTTAGTATGAACATGTAAACTTTATTTCTTGTAATAAAATTATGGGAAAACCATTAAATATTTGCTGCGACTCTTGATCAACAATCTATGTTGCTATACACACCCACAGGATTGGGAAGCTAGCTATAGATTGTTTCTGAGGGAAAATGTCTTTAAATTGTTTGAACGATTGTATGCAGTGTCGCTCACGACATAAAACGTCAACATATCCCACGCCACGCATCAAGCGAGCATAAACACGCCGCATTTTTATCGGAGAACTAAAAAAACAAAAACCTTTTAAATATAAGACAACGAAACTAATCTAATTTTGAGATGGAATGGACAGCGTCAAACTAAAAAAAAAATTCCACAATGTAAACATTGTCCAAAAAAATAATATCTCCCAATAAAATAAAATTGCTTCATTGGAAACGGTCTAACGCCCACCTTTTTATCTTAATAACAGTGCGGGCAATACGATGAAAATACAAAATATCCGTAATTTAATTTTCGAGAATTTTCGGGATTTCATCTGTAAAAAATTATCGAAAATTCCATTTCGTCATGCTTCGTGCTGTTACATGGCTTCATATCACATTTTTACCACATG